CCCTGATCTGCAGTGTGTTTGTTACTCACTAAAGCAATACTCTTAATCAATAACCTGATAGCAATCAGCCAAAACTGAATCTATAACCTATTTTTAGGCCCAAAACTTTTCCAGAGGTGTTTGAAGTGATGTTTAGGGCAGTGGGCAGCTCTGTGGCATCTTGAGCTTCCCGGCTTTGATTTCTATGATTCTGGATTTGATTTTTTAATGCAAAAAAATTCTTCCAAGTTGTTTTATTCTTGGCTGGGAGAGTGGGGAGGTCCTAGCACAGGGTGCCCCTGGATCCCTTTGAGTGCCCAAGGCCAGGCTGGACATTGGGGACCCTGGGACAGTGGGAGGGGTCCCTGGGTTGGAATGGGTGGCACTGGGTGGGATTTGAGGTCCCTTCCTACCCAAACCATTATTTTATGGTTTATACCACCCCTGTCACTCTCAGATCATGGGCTGGTTTTTATTCCCAGCAGAACAGTTCCCTGATGTTATTCTTTCACTTTCCAGGAGGAACGCAGGCTCTGGGCCGGCGGGAGCTGTGGAATACCAAGAGAGTTTTTTTCCTCACACCTCAGATCATGGTCAATGACCTCTGTCGTGGCACCTGTCCKGCTATGGACATCAAATGTTTGGTTATTGATGAAGCCCACAAAGCCCTTGGCAACCATGCCTACTGCCAGGTAAGGCTGGAATCATCCCCCTCTTCTCTCCCAGTTACAAAAACCTTCCCCCAAAATTACTTGAAGCTTCTCCCTAAAGTGTCACTCTCACTGCTTGGGGAGATTGTCCTGAAATCTGTATCTTTGAAAGAGATCAAACAGTCCTGTGTGTTGTCACTGCCTTGTTTATGGGTAATACCTGTGAGGTATTTTTTTCAAAGCCTGCATTAAATTCTAATGTTGGTTTTAAAATGTTTTTTTGTCTGGGCAGTGTTAAAAAAAAAAAAGGTCTTTTGTAAGACTCTTTAACAGAGTAAAACCAGGTCAATGTTTCTTTTTAAATGTAGGGTTTGTATTGATTAGCAAACAGTTTTTCACATTATTGTGGTTTCATCTCAGAGCAATAGATCACCCAAGTTTGATGCCCTGCAGCATTTTGCTGGATATTTGTGGAGTTCAGATTTCATAGGATCAATCATCCATGATTTACTTCTTTTAGAGTTGTTCTTCAGATTCACTTTTTGGCAGCTCACCTAAGATAGTGGGCTGTTCATTCTTTTGTTAGACATCAAGTGAGAAATCATTTCATAATTTAATGTTTCATAATTTAACTTCCAGGATGGGCCATCCATGGAATGGATGGTGTTGGATGGGGTTTGGAGCACCCTGGGATTTTGGGAGGTGTCCCTGCTCATGGCAGAGCTGGCACTGGATGGGATTTAAAGTCCCTTCCAGCCCATACAATTCTGGGATTCTGTGACTGAATATTTTGAGAGTGTTTTGTTAATCCTTTCCTACTTGGTGAGAGTTTTCACTGACGTAGTTTGTACCAGCAAATAATCTCCTTTCAGGATATTAATGAAACTTTGCTGTTTTTAGGTTGTGAGGGAGCTGAGCAAGTACACAGAGCAGTTCCGTGTCCTGGCCCTGAGTGCCACCCCAGGCAGTGACACCAAGGTGAGCCCTGAAGTCTCTTAGAATTCCACAGCAACACTGAATCTCTTTACAATCCATTTCTTGTTAAAGCTTTGTGTTTTTYGTGCTATAAASCATGTTTTATTTATTTKTGAGGGTGGGGAGGCCATGGCAGGGGTGGCACTGGATGGGCTTTGAGGTTCCTTTCCAACYCCAGCCAGGTTGGGATTCTATTTCCTGACATTTCATTTCTCACCATAGATATTGGATGCCTTTTCCTTCCAATTTTATTAAATCCCTGCTAGAATGGAAATAGTTACTTTGTTTTTGTGCCTCCCTCCAGGCTGTGCAACAAGTTATCTCCAACCTGCTGATTGCTCAGATAGAGGTGTGTGCTGAAGACTCTCCAGAAATTCAGCCTTATTCTCACGAGAGACTAGTGGAAAAAATTGTAGTTCCACTTGGGGAAGAGCTGGTTGAAATTCAGAATACCTACATCAAGGTGAGTGGCTGAATTTCCTTTTTTTCTCAATGGCCAGTGACAGTAAATGTTTTATCATCTCTGCCTAGGCTTGCAGTGGTTTATAAAACCAACTCTTTATCATATAATTCACTTTGATTATAAGGTAAATTAAGCAGGATGGTTTCAACTCCAGCAGCTGTAGTTTTTTTGCACCAATGGTACCTGCTACGTTGCAGTAACTTGAAAAGTTCAGTGAAAAACTTGCAGTTGAATTAATTTTCTCACCCTCTTTCAGGAGTCTTTGCAAAATTGACACCAGACCTAAATTGAGTAATATTAAGTGGTATTAATACTGAATTCAGTAGCATTAAGATGTTGAGAATGCCTTATGGAATTTGTGTGTGGACTGGAACATTTTATCTGATTAAGGATAGATATTCTTTAGAGCTTTAAATCATCTGTGAGTGTCATTAGTTCTCCTGGACTTTCTAAAATTGATTTCCTTTGGGATTGGTGTATTATTATTATTATTATTATTATTATTATTATTATTATTATTATTATTATTATTTTTCTTCTGAGAGCCTTTTTCTTTTCCTCAATATGTAATGCCCAAATCTAGTGGAGATTTTTGGAGAACTGTTTGTTAGTGGTGACTTAATGCTCTGTGTCTTGCCAAGAAGGTGCATGTAGGCAAATTATGCTAAATTAAAATACCACTTTGAAAAGTTTAAGGTTTTGCTTTTTGTTTGGTGAGAGACATAAATAATTAGGATTAAGCTACAGTATCAGATTATGGTTTTGGTTACAGTTTAATGATTTTGGTGTAGTTTAGTGAGGACCATGGAAGGCAAACCTGTGAGTGCAGCAGCTGTTTTCAGTGATCTGAGAGTGTGTTTCAATGAGGAACTTCATGTTAAATATAAACTTTAAAGCAGTTTTGCATCACTGCAGGTGCCCCTGAACGCTCTGTTGAGTGCAGGGATCTTTATGGGGTGTTTCACTCGGATTAAAGCTGTGCTGAGCTGTTGGTTTGGCCTCCCCGGCTTTGCCTGAGCTGGCACTGTGGCTGCAGTGGTTTTTGTTTCCTTTCTCCGATGGGGTATTTGCATTTGAATTGCTGCTGCTGCTTTCCTGGAGAACACAACTTGTGGTGACAGCCGGGGTGAGAARGGATGGTTTAGCTTGGGGAAAGCAGCTCCTTGACCTCAGGTTCAGGGCTTTGAGGGGACCTTTTCTGATCTGGAGCTTAAACGATGGTTTTTGTGAAATCAAAGCAGCACCCAAAGGCAGGAGAGCAAAAGCACAAGAACGAGAGCCGGGTGTCCTCTGCACGATAAAATCACTTTTTAATGGTGACAGACAGAACCAGTAAACAAGAGAACATTTCAGTGTGACTGAAGGACAGTGTCAAACAGCACAGCACAGCACAACGATGCCGCAGGAGCTCTGCTCTGATGGCTTTACACACAATAAGCAAGGCCCTGAGTATCACAACAGCTGGAATGAACTTTGTAGGCACTAACTCTTGTTTGGAAAATACACAGTATGCASGATAACGCTTCTCTGTTAAGGCTACATCATTTAATCTTCCAAAAATAGGGGTGAATGCTGTTTTATTATCTCCTTGTGTGAGTGGAAACCTGATAACTTCCCATTAAAACTGAAAATCCACGAGTGGCTCCCAAAGCAGAGCCAAGGATGGATAACAAAATACCTGTTCCTAGGCAATCATGCTGGACATGGTATTTTCAAATCAGAGCAACAGTGATGTTTGCTTGGCATTCACTGGTGGGACAGCTAAATAAACTGTTAAAACTGGAATTGTTGTTCCCTGTGCTGGTGAGGGCCAGGGACTGCTCTCGGTACCATATCCCAAACCATAAAGTGTATCCTCAAACTGGTAGTTTTGTTTTCAGCAGCAGAAGCCATTCTAACAGAAATCAAAATAAATAAATMCTATCTTGGAGTTCACAGTTTGCCATAAAACAGCAGGGAATGCTGGGCTGCAGGTGGGATATCAGCACACTCAGAGCTGCTCGTGGGTCAGGGATGTTTCTAGAACATCACCCACGAGGGACAACAGACACAGCAGATGCTTTTGCAGGAGAGGTGTCAAATGTGAATTATGTACAAAAAGTGGTGCCCTGTGGTGAGAGGGTTTCACTGCTTCCAGGAGCTACCCAACATCAGTTGTGCCAAAGCATTTAGAGAATTTTTCTAACTGGCAAAAGCAATCAAATGGCAGAAACTTCTGTAGTTTGCCATAAAACCTTGTCAGAGGTGAAAATTATTTTCACTTGCTCTTATGAAAATCATGGGGAGGGTATATGAAAAACCTTTTATTTAATATCTCCCTGGCCCCGCTCTTCACTTCAACTTTTAAAATATTTATATTGTTTTTCTTTATTTAAGAGCTTTTAGTTTAATACTGGCTGGCATTTTTTAGGTTTGCTTTTCCCAGGCTGTGATTCTGTATTGAATTTTAGTTGGTTTGGTTTTTCTTCCCTCCCCACAAAGACTCTTGGTTTGTTTGTGTTAAAACTAAGGCTTTTGTGTCTGTTTTTTATTTTCTATTTCCATTTCCCCCTCTCCTTGCTGCTTCCCAAGGAATCTCYAAGCCCAGCAGGTCCTGTTTAAGCCAGGGCCACTCTGCTCTGCTGCTCAGGGAGAGGTTTTGGGTTGAGCACAGAGCCCTGTGGGACCAGGAGGCTTCAGTTTTTTTCACAAGTGCTCCCCAAATCCATCTTTGGAGTTATTTTTTCACCCTGCTGTGAATTAGCAGCCACTGGTTCTGGGTGTTGTAATTTAACACGCTCTGTTAAAACCCTAAATGCTGTAATCAATAAATAATGCTGGTGATGCACTCAGGAAATTTTATATAAAAAGACATTTACTTCTATTAAGAATAAACTCTGTCATCGTATCAMTTAGGGGAGACATTGGGGAGGGATTTTGGAGAGCAAAATCGTTTGCTACCCTGATCCTAAAGTGCAGTAGGTGCTCTTGGGCTTGTGGGGAACAGTGGGAATGCTGCTCCCAGGCTCTGGAATGTGGGAGCTCGGGATCTGCAGCGAGCCAGGCTGGCAGCTGAAGGGTTTTTATAGGGGTGAAGGGCAAAACAAGCAACAGCTTAGAGAGAGGGAGAAAAAATCCTCACAGTGAGGGTGGTCAGCAGTGGGACAGAGCCCAGAGAGCTGCAGACTGCCCATCCCTGGGGATGCTCCAGCTCAGCTGTGATACTGGAACAGCCAGCTCTGCCTGCTCTTCTCCCAGCACTTTTTCTCACTCCTGGCTGAGATTTGCTGTGTTTCTGTGAATATTTGTGTCATTTATATCAATAATAGCGTGGCAGTGCCAGGGGAGTGCCACGAGTACTGAACAATGTTCTGACATCCAGCAAACCAGGAGGAGAAACTGCTGGGGGAACTGGAGTTAAAAACAACCTCCTTAGCAATGCCAGAGCCTTTCAGGGGAYGAAGGGAACCCCAACACTGGAATAGCAGCAGGACTGCTGTGCTATTTTGGTGTCCTGTGCACCTCAGGGTGCTTTGGTTGGGTGCTGTGTGAGGTAAGACTGGGAGTGTCTGTGCACAGCTCTCTGCACCAGCTCCCTGCTCTGATCCCAGTGGGCTCAATCTGCTGGTTCTCCTCAGGAACCAGCACCTGCACATTCTTTCTCTGCCTGGGTGAGGTGGGTTTGGTGTGTTCCCACTGAGAGCCCCAGCGGGGTTTGTGCAGCACCAGAGCAGGCCAGGGCTCCAAGGTGTCCCCAGGGTGTCCCCAGGGAGCCACAAGCAGTCTAGGGATGCCAACAAACAGATGAAGGGAGAGGTCTGTGCCTCCCTTACCTTGTAGATAGAAAGATAAGGTGAACTAGCTTTGCAAGTGCTAAAACCCTCTGTTAAAATAGTGGAAAAGCTGTCAGGCTGCCCTAGGGATCCGTGTGTGGGGTGTGACCGCGGGTTGGCGGCTGAGCTGGGCTGAGCCACCCTAACCCAGCCAAAAGCCCCACTCGGGAGCATTTTGGGGCTGCCCCCATTCACCTGTGGGGCTGAGGCAGCAGCAGCAGGGTCCATGGGGCAGCAGGAGCAGGGCAGAGCTCAGGGTCGCTGCAGGAACCAGATCTCGTTGTGGCGGTTGGCGGCGGCGGGGTTGGTGTAGCCGGCGATGATGAAGGTGTCGCGCAGGCACAGCTCGGGGCTCTCCAGCACTGCTGCCAGCAGGCTGATCTCCCTCATGATGGAGTCCTCGTTGGTGATCCCTCGGAAGCTCCTGCAAGAATCAGCTCGGGGATGAGTTTGGATCAACCACAGCTGCACCCACAGATCCCTGACAGGGGCTGCATGAACTGGGGACGGGCTCTGCTCCCAAAGGACACAACCCAAAGTTGCACCAAGGGCAGTTCAGGCTGGACARGAGGAAAACAATCCTCACAGAAAGAGTGACTGGGCATTGGAAGGGCTGCCATGAAGGTGGTGGAGTCCCCATCCCTGGAGGTGKTTAAGGAAAGCTGGATGTGGCACTCGGTGCCATGGCCYGRTGACAAGGTGGCGTTAGATCAGAGTTTGATGATCTCAAAGGCCTTTTCCAACTYAGWCAATTCTGTGATGCTTTTGAAAACCCCCTGTTTTACCAGAGCCTAGAAATGCCTTCTGAATTATTTGGTTGTGTTTCACCAATGGTACTGACTGTGATTGATCCCAAACAATTTTTTCTTAATATTTTCTGTGCTACGCCGGACGCTTTGTTCCTGACTACACAGAGTAGTTTGTGGGTATTTTATCACACATTTGCAGATTCATCATTTTACAAAGTAATTGAAATGAGTGAGTGTAGAATATTCTGAGCTGGGACTCCTGAGGATSATCAACCCCTGTCCCTGCCCAGACCCCCAACAATCCCCCTGTGCATCCCTGGAGCTTTGGCAGCCTCAGGGCTGGGACCATTCCCTGGGGAGCCTGGGCAGTGCCAGCACCCTCTGGGGACAGCAGAACCTTTTTTCTGATTAAATTAATAACCATTATTCCCTGACCATACAGTGAATGGGAATTATAAACAGGCAGCTTTTACAAATCCCTAAAATTAAGCTTTCCCCTTTGTTACCTTTCCCAAGGTTTAAAAAGCATAACCCTCCCAGATTGAGAAGCAATTGAGAAGCACAACAGTGTTTAGAGTTGAACATGTCACCGTTACCTGCTGTASACAATGGTGGCAGGCCACTCCTCGATGATGATATCCGAGTCAAAAGGGTGTGGGGGCTCATCCTGCAGCACCTCGGGCAGGTAATAGGCCACTGTCACCGCCTGCCTCATGGCCGACTGCGCCTCGTCCGTGTGCACGATGGTCACGATGGGCACCGTGATGCCCAGGTACAGCCCTGGCACACAGGG